CCGCCTCACGGGAAAGGCGGGCGGGGATGGGAGCGGGACGGGGACGGGAGCGGGACCGTGCCTCCAGCCGCCCCCCACTCCCGGGACTGCGGGGGGAAACGGCGCTCCCGGGTCCCAGGTGAGGAGGGCGCTCCGGTAGGGGTAACCGGCACCGCCTCCTCGCCCGCGGAGCAGCAGCCCGTACAAGCAGAGCCCCGTCCTTTTTTAGCTGTAAGCGTCGTATTGCGAAGCTTTGACAATCGCCGGACAGACGCACCGCTACGCCCGCATTTTTCGCAATACGCTCACCTCCACATCCGCCACGGTACAGCTAACGTTTGCTGAGTGTACGTCTGCACACCCAGGTGATCTTCCTTCACAGAAACTTTGTTCACCGTTTACTTTACAAGTTAACGCCTGGAGGCCTTCTAACTCTGAAGCTTGACTGCAATGCCAACGCATACTGTGCCAGGTTGGTTCACACAGACTATTTTTACCACATGAGAGTATATCTATATATACACACGTTCGCAATTATTTCTATCAGTCTCTGTTTCCTTACTGCATTTCTTTTTGACTAGAGTCCAAAGAAAACTGAGTGATTTTTTTTAAAGTACTGTCGAAATGTATTTTTCCCACTGTGCAACACAGTGACATTTTCTTAAAGATTTTGTTCTTGTTCCAGTTTGATACAAACCTACAAGTCCAGTTCAAATGACATTTGAGTTACCAAAACCAAATAATTAACTTTATAATTATTCTAGGCTATTTCAATAAAGAAAATAATAGTCTCTCACTGTTTCCTCTCCCGTATTATCCAAATTTCTCCAGAGGACAATTATTACTGTGCTGATACATACATACCTCTGGTTTTGTTTGCTTTAGAACTATCCTAATCAGATTTCTTATGGGACAGAAAAACATGTAGCTGAAAAGTCCATCAACTGTTTGAGCGATGATCCAATATTTGTATATCACACTTCCATATTCAGTTGTTTTACTTAACGGTTATTGCTTCTTTACTCTCACGTGGAGTTCTCTTAGTAAGACTGCAGTACTATTGCTTAGATCCGTTTGTGGCAAAACAACCAAGATCCAATTCTGGCCTTCTTTAAAGTAATACATTAAAGGTACTACATATTTCCTATCAACATGGAATAAGCAGGCATCTATGCTCAAGTGTACATGCCATTTCAAGATTTTTTTTTTTTTTTAAAATAAAAAATTCTAGCTATAATGGTTCAGGGATCATAGGAACTGATTATGGCTTCCAAAGCACTTTTCAGCTTTAGTCAAATACGATTTAAAACTCCACTAGCTGCACAGAAGAAGTGTGGACAAGCAGGTAAGTCCATACAAGCTAGCTTCCAAGGCTTATTTTATGAAAAGATCTACCAACCAGCTCATACTTAAGTTTATTTGTAGTTTTAATTAAATATTTGAAGTGCCAGTCAGCAAATCCTTAAACTGCCCTAGCATGAAACTATTAAACCTCTTCTAGATCAGATGAAGTTCATCTAGGTCTACCTTAGTATACATGAGGTGAAAATGTGGCCCAGAATATTTAGGCCTTGTCCTAGATTCTATTTTTTTAGTACTTTTTTTTTTTTTATTTGGTGTGTTTTCACTTAGCTTCACATTTGACATTCAGTAAAGTAACTCAACATACAAAAGTGTTTGATACAGTCTGTGCCACAGACTTACCTGATGTTGCAGAAATGTGGCCTTTTTGTCCTAGTTTATAAAACTTCCACGTATAAAAAAGCAGTGTAGTCTTGTAACTAGTTGTTTGTATTGCTCTCTCCCAAGAGTACCCAGTAATTTGGAAAGCAGCCAACCTTTTCTGGTGTCATTTAGCAAATGAGATATTTAAAGAACTCTGATTACAAACTACACATTCATAAGTGCAGTTGCTTTAATATATACATGGAAGACAACCAAGCAGGTACTTAATTAGGCAAATCTTCTGAAACTAAACAACAGTGAAGATGTATGCCCTCCAAAACATTTCTTGACATGTACAATTGCAAACAGAAAACTAATTAAGGAAAGCTACACAATATTGGGGATTAAAACTTTAATAAATATCATGGGAGTTCTAAATTATTCTTAACACATAATAGCATTTCCTTTTTATTGCAATATATTATATACAGGAAGACAGTGAAGAGGAGACTATTCCTAAAGAGGAACAAAGCCAGAGAATGAGGCATCTGGGCTGTCAGCTGCACCATCAAAAATTAGGTTTTTCTCCAAACCAGATCTTCTCAGAAAGCAAAAGGAAGGCAAAGTACTCTCATCTATTCAAGGTCTAATTGTGCAGTTTGGGACAGTAGTAACAATGGTGGCGAATCCAAACGGAAGTCATCTAATATTTAAAAAAACCTACGAAACAAAACACTGAAAAAACAACACAAAAGTAAATCTGAGGGGATTAATTGGACATTACACCTTCAAAGAGAAAAAGATGTCTAGTATCAAATGGTAATTCTGACTACTATCAACTAGGCAGAAATTGGTTGAGATGGATAATGATTCTAATTCAGCAGAGTACTTTGCTGTTACTGTAAGAAATCACCTTGTATCCTATATGCAGGGCACATTTCCAAGGTGATGGCACCAGAAAAAAACAGAGCATACAATAACATATCCAAGGTGAAACTGTATTAACTCTTGGCATAAATTATTGCATCACATAAGTATTTTTGAAACTATTATCACCAGAGTCAATGCTAACCATAATTGTGCTGCTTTGGTCCTGCTATTGAAGTCCTTTACACTTTTTCTCCTTCCAAGTTAAAAATAACCTTTTTTGATAACAAAAACGCGAAAAGATTAACTTGTTTCAAATTTTCCTTCTAAATATGTAATAATACATGTATGTTGAAGTAGAAAATCTGTAACATATAATACTTAAATTCCTATTAAGTGCACTTTATTACAGCATCTTACATTTCTACTTGCAGTTTAGCTTTGTTTTGCAAGTGAATGAAGCAAAGAGTTCCTGGATTTGTCAGCTACTTGGGGAAAAATGTCAGGTTTCTAAAACAGCCACGAAGCACTTCAAAGTGCCATGAGCACTTTAACTACAGACTGCAGGAGCACTTCTTAAAAAATAGAAGAGTAAGATGAAAATGTTAGGCTTCAGCCCATTTACTGCAAAACAGAAAAATCTCTACTACTATTTTAACTAACCTCTTACTGAGCACCATTTAATCGTACAGATGATTTGCTGGGAGTGCACGTAGAATAAATTGCTTATACTGAAAAGGCAAAACTTAATCTTGAAGAATCTTTAAAAGCGCTCTCCGCTCAGTCCTGTGTAATTCTGTATCTTCTGCTCTATGCCGAAATTACCCCCCAATTTATGGACAATTTTCCATTTGTTTCCATTCTGCTGGAATTCTAGAAAAGGCTCTTCACCTGCTGCGTGAACTCTAGACCTGCAGCACATATGGTAAACTCTGCATACTGTCCTTGCCCACAACTTCTGCTTTCTGCTCTTGTGCAACACCTTGGGCAGTCGACCCTTGGGCAGTGGTTTCCTTCCACAGCACAGGTGCGAGGACATCTTGCTGGGCGTTGAGCTTTGCTTATGGTTACTCTACAATGAGGCGTTAAAGTGCTGGTTTTATCATTTTAACAGGAAGACAAACGCTTCTTCTGTAATACTTCCAGCCAGCCTACCAGTTCCTCCGGACTTTCATCACTGAGGCATAATCACCAGTGGTTCTCCACTGCCCTCAGCAAATTCCCATTCCTTCTTTCCTGCTGGTGCTGGTTCTGCCTTTCCAGTCTGAAAGGCAAAGACCGTGTTTTCCAACATCTGCGACACTTCACCCCACAGAAAAGCAGCTGTCTCACGACTCCCCTTCCGCTGGCGGCCCTATTACAGCTTTTCTGCTGTGCAGCGGCTGGCTGGGCCGTCCTCCCCGCCGTTACAGGACGCGGCAGGCAGCCTTCAGCAGCGGGTCTGCTGCCGCTCACACGTAGGCGGACAGGCCTCCGCTCCGGGAGCGGTTCCTCAGCCGCCGCGCCCGGGGATAACTCGCGGGAGCAGACCACCGGCACGCCGACTAGCCCGCTCCCGCCCGCTGCCAGGCACCGCCCCAGGAGAAAATGGCGGCCGCGCCGCCCACCGCCGCCGGGCGCTCACGTGGGCGCTCACGTGCGGCGGGGCGGGAGGGGCGGTTTCCGGAAGCGCTCGGCGGAGGTTGCGGGCGGTGCCGA